TATGGATTGATTTTAGGAATAAGTTATTCAAAAACAGAATCGAAATAATAATTAAAAATACGTAAATAAGCCGAAATGAGCAGAATTAAGTTTGTTTTTCGAGAAATTGAGTAAAATAAGCACGAAATATAAATGCGAAGAAGAAGAAAAAGACAACCAGAATTGAGATCGTTCTCCAATGTCTGAATGGTGGTCAATTGCATTTGCTCTTCCATTGAGACCTTCGCAGCTTGATCTTCCACATCTATAATTTTTTCGAATTAAAAAAAGAAAAATCAATTAATTTTCGTAATTAATTAAAAAATAAGGAAATATTAACAAATTGAAAAGAGATGGATTGGAAATGGATATGCACCGTCCATCTGAGAGCGCAATGTCTTCATGTACTGCAAGTATTCCTCCATTTCTTCTTCTTCTTCTTCTGTACTTTCCTTCTCTCATTACAGCTTTAGCTCACAGAGAGCGAGAGTATGTGAATCATCAACTGTGAAGTGAAGACTGCAATTTAGAAATCGCCGATTTTTGGAGGGAAAGTGAGAAGAAGAACGAAGTTCTGGTCGCCTGATACATTCCCTCACTTAACCGAGCTCAAACAGACATCGCTGATATTTATTTAGCCCAAAACAATTTTGCTGATTTTTTTTTTAATAAACGATATTTATCTACGCTAAGAAGAATGAGATGAGCTTAGTGTCACAATAGGTTAGCAATAATGTGGTTCAACTTCGTCTTTGGCGAGAATCAAGCCTAAAACCTCTTACTTACAAGTGAAGAGGAATATCACTAGACCGTAGTACTAAGTGGCCCTCACAATGGACTAGCAATAATGTGGTTCAAATTCGCCTTTGGCGAGAATCGAACATAAAACATCTCATTTACAAGTGAAGAGGAATATTATTAAATTGCTCACATTTATTTTTACATCACGTATAATATTTCAATGGTTTAATAACTTTTTTATATAATTAACGATTTTCACGCGCATTCTATTTTGTCCCACACACAACCGGTCTTCTTTCCAACCTTGTGGCAAAGTGCATCAGCATTGAATATCATACTTTTGGGTTAGAGAGGGATCAAGATCCTCTCCTAAGCAAATGGTGAGGATCCTTCTGACCATGTCTATCAGGTCCGTTCAAATTTTATCCAACGGCTACAATTATTATAACTTTTAGAGGGACCCTCTATTTGTAGCCGTTGGATAAAATTTGAACGGTCCGATGAGCCTGATCAAGAGGATCTCACCATTTGCTTAGGAGAGGATCTTGATCTGTTAGAGAGTTTAAAAATTACGTGTCTCAATACAATATCCTAATAGGGTATTGAATTTTCTACAAATATGTCTCGAATTCGAAACTCTCATCCGCTAAATTAATATAATATTTGTGAATACTTTTCCCTCCTTAATATTAATTAAAACAAAAAATGTGTAAAATTAATAGAGCATCCCTAGTGAGGGGTTTTGTATGGAGCTAGAAAAGTGGTGGATATAACTCATTTTAAGGCCAAACCCTTCCCTACAGGGGACTGATCTAATCAGGTGGTTCTTGACTCGAATGCATTTTTAGTCCCGTATCCATAGCTGAGGCACTCTAAACGGATTGATTCATTCTAGAGTACGGGTTGGGCCAACTGTCCCTGCTCAGGTACTAGGCTGTCGTGCCTAGACAGTGCGATACCTTTTTGCCCACATGAAATGTCAGACTGCACCTTCCGCCCATGATGTGGAAGAGACAAATAGTCTTTCCTCGACGTGGCATAGGTACGTCATAAGGGCTCCATTACTGGCCATCAATATCCTCGATGACTCAGGGGAAGGACGGATGACATGGACTAACTCCGCAATGCTTATAAATACGCTTGGTGGCTCATAAAAAAAAGGTTAGATATTCAAAACCCCAAAAAGATACTTCATCCATTTCCTTCCTTACCTTGCTGACTTAAGCATCAGAGCGTCCACACTGGGAACCAACACCCCCCTCCCCCGGTGGGGTTGGACTCATGATCTCTACTTGTATGTTCTTTACTTAACTGAAGGAAAACAACTCCAACAGTGACTGGTTGTAGGATCCACTCCAAGTCGAATTTCAATGATCCGAACAGTTTATTTTGTAAGTCTTAGTTCATAGATTATCCTTGCAAAAATTCAATTTAATCTGAAACCAATTACGTATTTAATTATCACGATGAAATTTCATTATTTCTTATAGAACAAAGTATTTGTCAATTTCTTTGAACTCAATTAGATGTCTCAAATATTTCCGATTGGCCTAATATTTTGCAAGGATGATCTATAAGGTTCAATTTGAAAAATAGACAGTTCAAATCATTGAAGTTTGATATGATGTAGATCTCACAACTAATTTCATTTAAAATAAATGGGAATCCCTTACCTTAAAAGTCTCCATAAGAGTATTCGCAAATGGGTAGCTACTTTTTCTTAGCTCACATAGATATTTACTTTTCTCTTGAGGCCCACTGTTCTTTGAGGCTAGATGTGACCTAATTTTTTGCTACTCAAAGAAGGATGTTGCTAGTTCAAATGATTGATCTAGCCCCATTTTTCAGCTCATTAGGAATTAAATTTCTTGCTAGGGCTTAAATATATATGGAAAACTAATGAAAATGACTTCAAAACTTTGAATGTTAACCAAAACTCATCTAAAAACTTTATTTAATGATAAGGACAAGAGAAAGAAAACAAATATATATATATAAAAAAATAAAATAAAATAAAAAACTAACGGAAGCGCGTGCGTATTCGAAGAAAGCAGAGGAGCTTATTTCTTTTTCGTGTTACAAGTATAATTATCCTTTATATATGTGAATTTGATCAATTCCTAACTAAATCCTCCTCTGATTTTACTCACTCGCTCTTGATCAATCCTTAATCATTAATATATAGTCTTATTGATTTGTGTGAATATATCATTGACTTCATTCATTTCAAATTTCAATAGCCTGTAGAATTGCCTCATGCATGTGAGGAGGTGGAGGAGCACATTGCCGACTTTGATACAGCATTGAGTTTTCCCAACCTTTTGTTTTTTATTTTTTATTTTTGTTACTTCCTCCTTTCAGTTTTCTTCTGGAATTATTTAAATTAAAGTTGTAAGTGGTGGATCGCCTTTTCATTGAAAGAAGGAATTTGCGCCTACCATAAACTCTCAGTTGCGAACTTCCTTTACCTTTAAAAACCAAGTACTGTGAGAGGTGCAACTCAGGCAAGTTGGGTGGGTTGGAAGGTCAACCCAATCCTAACTCAACTTTTATAATTCGGACTTGGGTTTGGATTGGATTTCATTCGGGTTCATTTGGGCTTGGGTTTAATTGGGTTCAGGGTTGCACTACTTTTTCGAGTTTAATCATGTAACAACTTAGTTTCAAAAATTCTTAAAAAATTAAGCCAAATAGCATCAAAAGTAGTTAACTTTAATTTCGTAAATTAATCAAAGTTGTTGAGCAATTGCTTCGAGACATAAAGAATTTAGGTTTTGGAGACTAATAATCTACTATAAACCTTTAGGATTTAAAGACTACGAATATGAGTTGACTAATCAAAGCCTCTTATTATCTAAAAGCTTAAGTAATTATAAAGGGTAATTTATTAAAAAAAAAAAATTAGAAAGGGCATTGGTTTTTGGACTTAGCCCACTTGAGTGTAGTATGAGAATTAATTGCTATGTGTTACAATTTGGTTAGATTGAGTTTAGTTAATCGGACTAGGTTGGATTAGGGATAACGAGCAAATGATCAACCCAACTCAACCCAATCAATGAACGGATTGAAATAGAGTTGGGTTTGGGCTGGTTATAACTGAAAAAAAAAAAAACTCACTTGTTTGTGTTTAAAGTCGGGTTGGACATGAAAGGGTTTGGATTGGTCTAACCCAAGTTGCACCTCTACCCACTGCGTCTCGAGTTTAAATGTAGAGTTGATGTTTATGATGATATATATCTTATGATGTTGTTTTTTATTTTTTATTTTTTTCTACAATTTTGTAAAATAAATTTAATAGCAAAGTTTGATCGATCATATTATAAAATGAGTTTTGTTGTCTCCTATGCATTTGGCATCATATTCATACGTCTTGGTTTCTTATCTAGTTTGCACATACTAATGTATGTATGTATATGTATGTATATATGTATGTATGTACGTAAGTAATGACCAAAATTTATTAGATGATTTTTTGCTAATAAAGAATTTGGAGAAGCCATTTTCATAAAGCTCTCTAACAATGATTTTATATTGACTATTGCTGGAACTAAACATTGATTATTTCTAGAACCGACCACAGTTTCAGAAATAATCTATGTTCAGTTCCAGAAAGAGTTAATATTCGGTTTCAGAAATAATCAATGTTATTAGATGATTTTTTGTTAATATAAAGTTTGGAGAAGCCTTTTGTTATTAAAGCATAATACCATTTAGTTTCATAAATAGTGTAGTACTGGTTAGTTTCATAAATAATATAATATTGTTAAATTTCATAAATAATGTAGTACCGTTAAGTTTCATAAACAATGTAATACTGTTAAGTTTCATAAACAGTGCATGTGATGAACGTGCGGATCCTGCATGTCAGGTTTATTTTTTATATATTAAAATTTAAGTTTTTTTGTCCTCTTTATTAAAATTTAAGAATTTTTTTAATTAAATAAAATTATAGCATTATTTTTTGTTAAAATAAATTTAGCCAAGCCTTTTTTATAAAAACTCCCAATATAAGAGCTTCACCCCCATCAATATTCTTAGAGCATCTTCAAATGAGATGTTAAAAACTTAGGTGGAATGTTGTTGTGCATATTTGACATAAAAAATCTATCAAACTGAAGTGTTATTTGCTGATTGGATTTAAAAGCTTTGTGGTTAGGAATCAAATTTGACATCAATGTCAAATTTATTTTTAATTCATTTTAATGAGGGATCCTTATTCTGCTTACATTTCAACTAATAAAAATTTTGTTTCAACAATTTTGTTTACAATTAAAACCATTTTAAACTCTATTTAAATAAGAAAATAGCATTTGACAATTCGATTTGAGAATACAAAATTTGATATAAAATTTCAGATTAATACTGAATTGTTGTTTATTATTCAAATCTTTTGTTTTGGTTTTCTATTTATTTCTTTCTCCTGTACTAGATCTGCTAGAGGCTTCCATTTCCTCAGAAAAATCCTAAATCCATTCAATTTCAAACCCTAAATCCATTTATAAACCACACAATAAAAGAATTAGTCGCTGAAATTTGTAAAAGGGATCTCTCTCTCTGTTCCGTTGTGATGTCAGCAAGTAGTAATGGGGTGTCGATTTGGTTCAACAGGAAGGTGGTTGATCCCCTCCTCGAAATCCTCCGCAGGTACCACTACTACCCTATACTTCTTCTTTCTCTCTAATTTTTTTTTTTTTTCTATTTCAGATTCACAAATTCTGTTTTTTTTGGTATATAATATTTTTGTCGGGTTTGATTGATTGATAATGATTCAACAATTTGTTTGCTCTAAAAAATCATGTTTGATTGTTACTCTATTTGGTGGTTGCTGAGAAAGAAAGTTGTAAAATTTGACTTGGATTTTGAAGGGGTGCAGAACCGAAGCTGTTGGCCTTCTCTGCGGCTCTTGGCCTTACCATTGGATTATTTCCAATATGCGGTACGCATGCATCTTTTATCTTCTCCAATCCCGTGCGGTGCCTCTTTCAATACAATGCAGTAATTCTGCATAGCAACATTGTTATCAATGCTGTTGCTTCCCCATTCTAGTTTAATACGGGATGATTTCCCACCTGAACAAAATTTTCTCTTATTAATACACTCACGAACAGATTTATTTAACCGCCTGGAAAAGCAATTTCATAATTTTATCATGTCACACTTTACTTCTAAATGCCGAAAATAATCTCACTGTGAGCTGTTCCTTAGATCATTCCTTAGTGAATATTGATGTGGCTCAGCAATGTTGCAATAATATGCAATATAGGACTCTCCTTAAAGAAAACTTACAAGGAGTAGTTGCCGCCTTATATCAGTACAGAGAACAGAAAGAAATTGCTATCTGAGAGTGGGAAGTTCACGTAGGAAAATGTAGGCTGGATTTAATTGGGAGGATGTTGATATGATCCCCCCTTTGTAGTTGTTGTAATGGATCTGGTATTTCTGGAGATTTGTCAGTACTAATGTTGGACTCTCTAAATGTTAATAAATACCTCATATTAACCGATGTTTCATTAATAGGGACAACTGTGGTTCTGTGTGGAATGGCAATTGCATTGCTGCGATCGCACTGCCATGCTCCAACTGTCATGCTGGCTAATGTCCTTGCTACACCAATAGAACTGAGGTACTTGTGCTTTTATCCTAGCATCTTGTAATATCATTACGTTTATGTCATCACTGTACATGCGACAAATTGTGTTTGCACATCCTTCATAAAATGTCTAAACAATGACAGATTGTGGATTGGTCGCGGTCTTGGTACATCGTTCGTCTCTATGTTGATAGAAGCCTTAGAAATAGAAACAACATGTATAAAAGAACTTGTCCTAAAGCTTTCAGTTTCTCTTGTACCATGCCTATTACATTTTATGCTACACATATGATTGTTATCTTACTGTTTTTTGTTGTTGTTGTTGTTTTGCTCTCAAGTTTGGTTGTACCTTTCTTGCGTTTTGGTGAATTTATCTCTGGTGGAGCTCATTTTCCTTTAACTTCTGACGCTTTCAAGAAAGTGTTAACTGGCCAAGCTTCATATGAGGTCTTAATAAGTATTGCGCATGCGGTAGGTTGCCAAGTTATCACCTTGTAGTCATAACCCCGCTCTCTCTTGCTATTCACGTCTAATTGGTATCAATCTTTGCAGTTGTTGGGATGGCTTGTTGCTGCTCCTTTAATTTTTGCCGCTCTGTACGTGGCATTTTTACCATTGTTTAAGGTGTTGGTTCCCAAGTTCAGCGCTGTTCCTTTAAGCCCAAAGAAATCACTTTCAACCACAGAAGTCAGGCTTAAGGTAAGAGATGCCTGACTAAAATTGTAATAGCCACACACAGTTATTTCTCGTGCCATAAACAGGGAAGTTTGTTCACATGTTTCTGACATTTAGTACCCCAAGTACATAGAACAGCACTGGTGATACGATGCTTACTCTGCTCTGGCTCTCAGCGTGTATTATATAAGTATGATTCTTTATGATGTCGTATTTATATTTTAACCAAGGTGGCTTCTGGACAGCAGAAGTCCATTAAAGTCTGATGATGTGATTAACTAATTTGACAGGGAAACTGATGCGTCTTTCTGTTTCTCTGCATCATCGGATATACCGCGGTGCAAGACACCTCATTCACGGAATAGGTATTAGTGTATATTCTCAGAGAGAGGGGGAGGGGGAAATTTTGTTGGTCAGAGAGGAGGCATGCGCGAGCTGAAACTTCACTTTGTCTCAGCGTTGAGCGCACAATAATGGAATAAAAATGAATACTCTCTTTTTCAAATAAAAGTTTAGTTGATCACTTCCAAAGGTCACAGCAATACTGCCTGTTTTGCAGCCATATCCCTTTTTTTTTTTTTTTTTTTTTTGGGAACTTTGCTAAGTTACTGTTGGGACCAAATTAAGTCAATACGACTGTTTGGCTATCTACAGTGTTTCTTGCAACGACGAGGAGGAGGAGGTGATGGCTATGGATAAGTTGAAGGGACATCTGTTTTATTATATTTTTAAACACGTAAGATTTTGTTGAGACAATATGATATGACATGGCTCAGGCATCTGACTCAAGGGAGGGATGAAAGATGATTGTTTAAATATGGTGGTATAAGCTATAAACCCATGAAACTGAACTCTCTTCTCATATGAACAAGCATCTGACTCGGCCAATCGCTCTCTACGACTATGATGACTTGCAAGCCGTTACGTCCCGCCCTCCGTCTTGCTTTCTCTCCCATGTCACGAGTAAATCGATATCTACACATAATGCACAAGCAAAATTAAAACAAGTGACAACAAGCATAAAATACAAAATCTTAGCACAAACATAATCTCAAAGGAAAATCCTCACATTATAGTCATTTTTTGTCTAGAAGGAGAAGAAATGAGATTCGATAGGGTCCCCCAGCTCTCAATATCTTGCAAGCGAAACATCCTCATCACTAGCGCCTCGCCTTGCTGTCACGATGTCTCTTAGTCTTCGTATTAAGATGTCGCATGACAAGCATTGAGAAAATCTCACTTGTATTCATCTTTTTTTTTTTTTTTTTTTTTCAATTTTGATCTCATTTATCAACATAGTTTATTGTTTCAAAGTACAAATTCATCATTTAGGGCTTCGACTTTAGGTTTTTATTATTTCAGAGTAAAAATTCATCATTTAGAGCTTTGACTTTAGGGTTTTGTCTTTTGGCCTACCAAAAGTTGTGTGTTTAAAGGGAGTTTGGACGCAAGTGGCTTTTAACCACAGTGGTAGAAATGTATCTTGCTCTTGCATAACGGCATGAATTTGACCCCGTCAATAGTTAATCTAACATCTAACTTAAAAATGCTATCACCGAATTTACTCCAAGTTAAGGATCCATGGAGGATAAGAAAATAAGTATAAAACCTCGATACTATCACACATCAAACAAATCGTAATTACATTTGGACAAATGGTTTAGATTAATGTGTGGGTTTAGGAGAGCTTGACATTTCTTCCCCTAAACCCTAAACCCTCCTAAACCATCAGACAAATGCATGTCATGTAGATTAATGTGTATTTAGGAGAGATTATGGAGGGACAATACATTAAAGAGATCCCCTTGGTTTTTCAGAAAGTCTCCCAAAATATTTGCTCGAGCAATTAGCGGAGCAAAATGTCTCCATAAAAATAATTGGTGGGAAGGTTGACTTAAATTCGTGGCTTGTATGCACCATTTGCAATCAGAAAAATTTGGACATTTTATGTGTAAATATTTTATAGTTTGCTTTGTCCTGTAGCGAGGGATTTTCTTCAATGTTTATTCGTAGGTTTTGTACTGGGTTTGCAATTGCAGGTTGATGTCGTTCGTTGTGGTTCATCGTGCTTTTCACGGTGGAGATTGGTGGATTGCTCGGTGTGTTGGACAAAAACTTTGGTGTTGAGCAGATATTTTTCATTATGACCGGAACATAAGTTGTATACCATGTGTTTTTATACAAATGGTGAAAAATTTTAATTGTCACGTTATTAATTTTTCAATACGCATATCCTACTATATGTATAATAAATTATGATGTATCATCCCATGTTTTGATCATACTAAAAAATCTTTCAGAGTTGAAAGAGACTATGACTGATGTGTCTTTTGGTATAATCAAAAGGGCAAAAATAAAAGAATAAGGAGGTTTTAATTGATTTTTTTAAAGAAAATCTTAATGAAACACCCCGATTCTTTCCAAACTTGCCTATAAAACTTGCTTTATAGGCGACTCTGCCTAGCAAATCTCAAAGTAATTTATAACGTGTGGAGCAATTAGCAGAACGCAATTAGTAAAGGGAAATAAATAGACTATACGAGAAAAAGAAAGAAGAAAAAAATATAAATATAAAAGGAGTCAGTTTAGTCCAACTCCAAAAAAGACGTCAAATATGGTAAATAGGATTAAAAGACATTCAGTTGTTCTCCAATGGATATGCTGCCATATACGATGTGGCATGTGAGTCCTTTGACTCCTTGCTTTCTGGCTGCCTTTTTTAACAGCAAACAAAGGAGTCAAATATATTTAATTGAATTTTTTAATACACGAGTCCCATTAACAATCAATAGAATAAAAACTACAATTATTTTTTAACAGTTAATGTAACTCTAGGCCCAATAAAATAAATATTTAACACATCCATTGGAAAAGAAGATAATTTAACACTCATATTCAATTTGCCATATCAGCCATCAAATAAAATTTTATATTTGACATCTCCTTTGAAGATGCTCTTATTTACCAAAAATGAAACGAAGTGTCAAGCTTAGAATTAAATGATGAGAAAAAATTCAACGCGAGAGCCGTTGGATCAAATTCTACTAATATATATCAACGATCCGGATACTAATTTGGAGGAGGTGCGGTTTGGTTGTGTTTAAGAGTCATACTTAATGCTCAGAACTCTTTACAGCCGCTTTAAAAGCAGAGCCAAAGTACATCCGAAGGAAAACGGTAGCATGAGCGTTCCTCGGTCGTAATCTAATCCGAAGGAAAACGGCAGTATGAGCATGTGGAAGATTAAGATATACATCATCTGACTGCGTACTAATATGCGTGCATGTTTTTTGATATGAAATGAGAAAGAGTTCTTCAAATCTTTTATGATTTCTTCAGATTTTCTTGTTTAATATCAAAGGATATGTGTAATCCACCCCAAGCCGAGGCTTCAAATTTTCCATACTATATTTTGGTAGCAGCTGTTGTCATCTCTATTTATTAAGTAGACTATTCTTCATTGATATGTTTTTCTGTGTATTTATAATATATTGTCCTCTTATAATTTTTTTCTGTTTCATCAATTTCTTTTTCGAATCTTGTCCTCTTATTTCATCAGTGTTTTTTCTCTCACTATGTTTGAGGTTTTTGTTCCTGCTATTATGAATGATTTGAATCTTCGTGAAGATTTTGGGACTCCAATGAATTTGGCACTACAAACATTGCCCTAATTTTGGGCAATTACATATTCATAGCAACTGATTCTTGATTAACTTCTACGGATATGGTAACTGTCAATCAGTTATGCTCTCTATTTGATCTGGTTATTAGGTTTTTAATTAAATTTTAATAATTTGTTTAGAGAACGAGTAAGTCTTCAAGACTTATAAATATGTTCCAAACCTGTACGATAGTAGAGCTTTTGAAACCGTGAAACAATGAGTCATGAAACTTTTAAGATTAATAAATAAACAAATGAATCAAAACAAAACATACCGATTTGTCAAATCCACAAATAAAACAATACGAATTCAAATACTTATATCTAAACTTGATAGTATCATAATCAGTTCGATTAGGAGTTAACCCCAACTTTTTATGAGCCTATTCCATTTGATTCAGCAAATTTGAACATGCCACTTTAACAACTTCATACGCATCAAGAATTTGATTTTCAGCTATGCATTTAGCGACATATTTCTTCAACCCTCTAAAAACAGACTTAACACCACACATCGTACCATACATGTTTGGAGCATATTTATGAATCTTCAAGAAGTACTCGTTCTCTAAACAAATTATTTAATAAAAACCAGATCAAACAGAGAGCGTAACTTACAGTTACCATATCCATAGAAGTTAACCTAGAATCGGTTGCTATGAATATGTAATTGCCCAAAATTAGAAAAATATTTGTAGCGTCAAATTCATCAGAGTCCCCAGGATCTTCAAGAAAATTCAAACCATCCATCATAGTAGGAACAAAGACCTTAGACATAGTGAGAAACATAAGAGAAAGATTGAAATAGAATGAAAAAAATAAAAACACTGATGAAATAAGAGGAAAAGATTCGAGAAAGAAAATTGATAAAACGAAAAAAATTATAAGAAGACAATATACTATAAATACACAGAAAAATTACATGAGAAAAACATACTAGTAAAGAATAGTATACTTAACAAATATAGATGACAACGACTGCTACCAAAATATAGACAAGTATTTTAGCACCAAAGTAACCAAAATCTTTGAGATACAAAGTTCATCCAACATAGGAGGAACATAAACATTTGACATACTGAGATTTAAAGGAAAATCGCTGAAATATAAAAGACATTTTTACAGAATCAGTAAGCAACGACAAGAAAGCCAAACGGATCGAAAAACCCATTTATGAAACACAAAATTTAAAAGAGGAGAAAATACCTGGCTAGAGAATTAGAAAATGGAATTGAATGACAGTCTACATCCCCGAATAGACTTTCTCCTCTTTTAACTTTTGTGTTTCAAAAATGGAATTGAATGGCAGGTATTTTCTCCTCTTTTAACTTTTGGGTTTTCATAAATGGGGTTATCAATCCGTTTGGCTTTCTTGTCGTTGCTTACTGATTCTGTAAAAATGTCTTTTATATTTCAGCGATTTTCCTTTAAATCTTAGTATGTCGAATGTTTATGTTCCTTGGATGAACTTTGTATCTCAAAGATTTTGGTTACTCTGGTGCTAAAATACTTGTCTATATTTTGGTAGCAGTCGTTGTCATCTATATTTGTTAAGTAGACTATTCTTTACTAGTATGTTTTTCTCATGTAATTTTTCTGTGTATTTATAGTATATTGTCCTCTTATAATTTTTTTCGTTTCATTAATTTTCTTTCTTGAATCTTTTCCTCTTATTTCATCAGTGTTTTTATTTTTTTCATTCTATTTCAATCTTTCTCTTATGTTTCTCACTATGTCTAAGGTCTTTGTTCCTACTATGATGGATGGTTTGAATTTTCTTGAAGATCCTGGGGACTCTGATGAATTTGACGCTACAAATATTTTTCTAATTTTGGGCAATTACATATTCATAGCAACCGATTCTAGGTTAACTTATATGGATATGGTAACCGTAAGTTACGCTCTCTGTTTGATCTGGTTTTTATTAAATAATTTGTTTAGAGAACGAGTACTTCTTGAAGATTCATAAATATGCTCCAAACATGTATGGTACGATGTGTGGTGGTAAGTCTGTTTTTAGAGGGTTGAAGAAATATGTTTTTAAAGGGTTAAATCCTAAGGGTTTAGGGTTATTTGACACTATAATACTAGTTTATATTTTGGTAGAAGTCGTTGTCATCTCTATTTGCTAAGTAGACTATTCTTCATTAATATATTATCTCTTGTAATTTTTCCATCTATTTATAGTATATTGTCCTCTTATAATTTTTTTCTGTTTCATCAATTTCTTTTTCGAATCTTGGCCTCTTATTTCATCAATGTTTTTTTCTTCTTTCTATTAAGTCTTTCTCTTCTGTTTTCTCACCATATTTGAGGTTTTTGTTCCTGCTATGATGGATGATCAGAATCTTCGTGAAGATTCTGAGGACTCTGATGAATTTGACACTACAAACATTGTCCTAATTTTCAACAATTACAACCGATTCTAGGTTAACTTCCACGGATATGGTAACTATCAATAAGTTATGCTCTCTGTTTGATTTGGTTATTGGGTTTTTAATTAAATTTTAATTTTTTATTTTTAATTACTACTCAATATTGATAATTTGTTTAGAGAATGAGTACTTATTGAAGATTCATAAATATGCTCCAAACCTGTATGGTACGATGTGTGGTAGTAAATTTGTTTTTAGAAGGTTGAAAACTTGAAGAAATATGTTGCTAAACGTAAAGCTGAAAATCAAATTCTTGATGAGTATGAAGTTGCTAAAGTGGCACGTTCAAATTTGCTGAATCAAATGGAACAGGCCCATAAAAAGTTGGAGTCAAATACTAATCGAACTGATCCTGATACTATCAAGTTCAGATATAAGTATTTGAATTCGTGTTGCTTTATTTGTGGATTTGACAAATCGGTATGTTTTGTTTTATTAATTCGTTTGTTTATTTATTAATCTTAAAGTTTCATGACTCTTTGTTCACGGTTTCTAGGTTCCAAAAGCTTACAGCATGAGTCTTGTCAGTCCATAAGTGTTGGATGTTTCCATAGCTTCTGAACATCGTAATTGTGGCTTTCTAGGTTCTGGCTCCACCTTAGCTAGGGATTTTATTGTAAAATCTCAAAAAAATTTGTTGCAAGTGATTTTCTTAGTTTTTATGGACCAGTAGATGACCACTGATTTCACTTCAGAATAGTTAAAAATAAATACACTTATTTTTTTAAGTAATTATGCAATCAAACTTTTCTGAATAAATACACTGCAAGTAAATCAACACACTGTATGCAGTGAGACAATAGAAAAAAATGATTACCTAGGTTCTTAGATGTTTTAGCTAATAAGCAGAGCTAATAAGCAAGCAAGAAATTGATTTTCAAATTCCATGGCTTTCAGCAAGTACTTACTAAATTTGACAGCAAGACTGTTCATCCTCCCCAACTCCTTCATAACTCCCATAAGAGAAATTTTCATGCGGCCTCTTTCCAGTGGCTGCAAACAAAATATCAAATTTAAAAATGAAATCCAAAAGCATAGCAAATAGTCTGGGTCACTCTCAAGTTTGGGTGCGGAGCTTATCCCTAATCTTCTCACCAGAAAAGAACATGAAAAAATTAATCGGAGTTTTCAAAAAATACAATACCTGATTACCTGCTATTGGAAACAAATAATAAATATACAGGGAGTTTTATAGAAAATTACAAAATAATTCAATTGCAAGCAATTTAATAAAAATTTGCAGAGGGAAAAAAAAAACTCAAAATCTTGGTAAAATTAAGAACAAAATTTACCAAACACTTCTCATAATATTTCATCCAAAACCATCCAACCAACTGTTCTTAAGTAATCATTTGAATGTCTCCATAATTTTTCTCAGCAACCAATCAGAAGGTAATTTTGTGAAGAAAGACTGTAAATTTGGCTAACCTTCCCCATGAGGCTCTCCATGGCTGAACTCTCCCACAACCAATTGCTTATCTAATACAATGAAAGTCTGCTCTGCAAAAACCATTTTCAACTCTTCAATCATTCACCAAACCACTAATACAATCACACAAAATACCCTCAATCATTTGTCAAAACTAAATTGAACCCTTTTTATAATTTTCCTGAAAGATCAAACCTTCAATATCAGATTCCATAATCAAATATGATACTATTCCTCTTTCTCTCTCTCTAAACTCTTTGTTAAAACCCAATTATCTCATGGTCAGATTTTTGCTTACTTGCAAAGATGTCTTTAACTTCCTCTAATTATTCACATTGTCTCATACTTACTCTCTGATATCTACTTAATCAGAAAGCTATGACAATAATACAACACACATTCTTTGGAATTTCGATATGGATATAAATGCGAACTATTTTAGTTTTTCAGTTAATCTTTTTTCTTAAGAACTCAAAACACACACATTCGGTCTCATCGAAACGAAATGGGGATATTAATTTTTCAGTGATGTTTCAAGTGTGATTACAAATCCCACATACAGTTGTCTTCATGACCCCGCCCCCGGGGGGGAACAATTTTTTACCATGTACCTAATAAATCATGGTATTACTTTCAAAAAATAACACATATATACCCGGCCCCATAAGGGTCAATAGGTCTCAGTTGCATATGAGGGGTGAAAGATAATTATGCATAAGGCAACTGAAACACGTTCAATTATTATTTTTGTGATAAACTGCCAATGGATTGCCAACCAACATATTTTACATACAATATTTTGATAACATCGCGCGGGCATTGCCTAGAAACAGCATACATAATTCAAGGTTATATGAAAACCTATGCCATAATGAATTGAGCAGGAAAATAAGCACTTCCTCATATGAGACATTATTAAACAGGAATTATACTAATAAACCAGGAAATAGATAGACATTATGGAGAGCAGGTAAATGAACTCAACGCCCCAACAAAAAGCCTACAACACCAATTACAGAAACACCTTTACTTCTTAAAGCTTCAATTACCACTTTTGCATATTCGATTTCTTTTGGCTTGTCGATATGAAAACATGAGGATTTGGAGGAAAGAAAAGTTCAACAATTAATCATTCAAATTAGGGGAAAACAATTACAATGTAAAATTAACCCAAAAACTTATAAACAAACATCAGAGAGTCAGATCTCATTCATGTGAAAGTAGAGTCAGCTCAACATTTAACCCATTTTGAGTAAACAATTAGTGTCTTAAACATAATTCCAAATAGTGAGATAAAACAATTAGTGTCTTAAACTGCTCATCCATTTGCTAATAAAGAATTAGAGTAAACAACAGAGGGAATTAGCTGAATAACCTTCGTTGGCCAACATTGAATAACATTCAACATCCAAAAATATCTCAAGTTTTGATAATGAAATTCGTCGAGATGATAAAAGAGAGAACCAGAAACTAATGAGATATAAATAAACATGCAACTTGAAAACCATACCACAATTCTGGCTCGCACACATAGAGTGCACAAAATTTTTGAAAATCCAGTCACCCATGTGAAAGAAAATATAGAAATTGTAACCGAGTATGTAATAAACTGAAAGGGGAAAGCAAATGAGAGAACTATACCACTCTTTCTGGAATTAAGCAGAGACAAAGGCTGAAATCAGGAGACAGCATTGCCATCAGTGCCTGCACATCAATACAACACTCATAAACATTTAACATACTTCTTATTTACAACTAAAAGAAATGTTCCAAAGCAGCAAGATTGAGTACAGACCTTAACCAAGATGCGAGAAACAATTTGGGTGCTCTCCCCAGCCAACTTTCCAGCGTCCATGTGGTCAACTGACCAACTTTAACCCACTGTCGATCCGCCCCCGTGTAGGGGTAGGTCTTATGTTCAATATATTGCAAAAGGGGAAGATTCCATTACAAGAGCTCCCTAAAATCAAACTAAAACATGCAATTGTACCTAAAAGGGGAAAGCAGCTAGGAAAAGACATAAAATTTCACAATGTAGTTTAGATATTGAGTAGGCATAGAGCCTGAAGTTTGTTTCCACTTCAACAAATCCCTGAACAAAAAAGTGAGTAAAAAATTCGTAAGTAGCATGTATGGATGCACATCAGTTTTCTTGATGATATGGAATTAGTTGTGGAATAACCGATTAGAGACAAAGCTAGAATGAGTACAAATAAGCTAACTAAAAGATTAGAAGCTACGTTAGTAGGTATAAACCAACTGCCTTTCCTTCCCTGGATAAGTACACAAAAAGATAGAAATTTAAAACTTGGAGTCAGGAAATGGTTAAACTGTCATCTGGGAAATTATTACCAATTTAGTGCACATTATACCAAAAATAAATCACAAAAGTATAACCTGCTGAAGTTTGATCAGTCCCAAATCTGCAAGATCCTTGACCACATTCTTTTGCCTCTCATTCAATGTATTTATGTTATATGCCTAACACTCAAAAAAGAGAACAGAATCAAGAGGTGAGAGATTAATTCCAGGTAGAAAGTTTCCATATGGAAGAAAACACTTTCCTACAAAAGAAATAAAAAAGTGAATACTATGAAAAGTTCTTATGGCAACATTTACTGCAGCACTATTCATATTTTAGTCGGAAATAACTATAAGCCAAAAAAAACATGGGGGAATCCAATAAAGCATATGCTACTGCAAGAGAATAGTCATGTATAAAGAGCATATAACTAATAACTCGCCATTAACATGAAAACTAAGTTCTACCAGGAATGAAATCAAATCTGCAGAATCTAATCCACGCTCCTGCGCCAAAAAGGAGAGGTGAGGAGAGACCAACATAGCTGCTGTGAAGGAAAAAAAACACAAAATATCAAAACAACATCAAAAGTTACAGACTTGCAGAATCCCAAGTTACACTTTCCCAAATTCATCAAGACAATTTCTTAACTAATGTAACTTCTCTAGTTTTCGTAAAAATATTAACTTGGGTAAAATCATATTCCACAAAATTAGAAATTGGGGAGTGAAATTAAACACCAAAACTTCACAGGGGAGACTTACCATTATATATGCAGGCAGTGAAATCAAAACCTTCTTCCGCCATGGAAGTCAAATGTGATGTTTGAACTGAAAAGCTATAAGTTGGCATCCCCATCTTCATTACATCCCTTGGGAACAATCGAAGTTGTCTGTGCACCAAAATCAGCAAACACAAATCATCAAATCACATTCTATAGATACATACATATAAATTTATATAGTGAGAATATACGGAAGGTTAAGGGTTAAGCTTGGAGGCTCTGAGAGTGAAAGGGCAGGCGGCGAACTGGAGAAGCTAGAACCGCTCGGCGGCGTAGTTAGCCTTGCAATACGACTTGTCGGCGGTGTCAAAGCGAGATGGGCACGAAGTCGGAAGTGGACAGGTGGTTCTTGAACTCCTCCAGGAACTCGGGAAAATTGGACTTCGTCACTTCCTTCACGGCCCATTTCTTTAAGACATTGGTGGTGGTGGTGCTAAGAAAACGGCGCTGTATTAGTCGAGGCAAAGATGCACTCCGTGCCCTGAACTTGTACGGACACCTGCCTGAACCTCCGCCTGAACTCGTCGATGTCGTTGAACGAACTCAACTCGCTCACCTTCATAATCCTCGTCATGGTCGTCGCCGAAGCCGACGAACTTCACTCTCAGTCGAACACAGCCGTCCTTCGCTATCAGGACGTCGTACCAGGCGTCGCCCAAGCCAGACCTGAACTCGACCGCCATCCCAACTCCCGCCCACTCCCCCTCTCTCTGTACCTCTGCAATCCCTAGTCACAAGGCCCTAGCCATTTCGGCTGGTATATGCGACGAATCTGAAGGCGGAGCAGGGAGCTGCAAGCTGTCAAGGAGTTCGCCTAACCCCAAAATCCCGCTCTCTCTCTCTCTTTCTCTTCCCAAATCGAGCATCACCACTAAATCCCCTCTCTTTCTCTCCCTCGAATCGTACACCCCGTGACTCTGTCTGCCTGTAAGCCGCATGCCTTCCTCTCACCAAATCCCTATCTCTCTCTCCCTCCCTCCCTCCCTCTCTTCTCTCTCTGCTCGCTCGCTCGCTCGCTCTCTCTCCCGACAGCATGGTGTCACCGAGTACCACTGCAGCTTTATAAAGAAAGGAAATGAAAGTCTCTAACCCACCCAATCCGTTCGAAGCCCTGCAGACTAAAATGACTATCGCACGCCTGCCCTTCCACGATTATCAACACGCGGCATGAAGAGCGGTAGAAAGAGATAGTGGCAGCCTCGTAAATAAAATGATATTCGAATTCAAACACTGTTCATTTCTCCAGTGCAATTAACAAGCCTTCTTGACCAAAGTAATACGTAATTTTTGTTTTTTCTCTTGTGAAAATATTTGGAATTTTCTGAGCTTTTATTGAGTATAGTTTTATTATTATCTCAGGGCTAAGCAGATTAATAAGTTTGAAATGAGTTTTTTGGTTTTGTGGGGGGAGGGGGAGATTGAAAGCTTTGATGATTTTTTTTAAAAATGTCTTACTAAGAGCTTTAGGGGTGTATTCAATTGAAAATTTGAGAGATTTAAATGGATTTATAAATTTATGGATTTTTATGGAGTTTAATTGATTTGTAGAGATTCCATATAAAATTTTGATTCAATTCTCTCGAAATCTCATGAGAAGATGTGAGATTTGTGGATGTTTAAAATACACTACGAAATCTCTATTCCTCAACTTTCTTAACTTCTTTAAAATCAATTTTTAATTGAATACACTTTGAATGTTATAAACATTGTTAAAATCCTAATTGAATACATCCGAATTTCTAAGGATTTTAATAAACTATCTTAAAATTCTAATTGAATGTAACTTGAATTTCAGAGAATCACTTAAAATCTTAGTTGAATACCCTAAATTCATTAAAAAAATTAAAATTCCTCAAAATCCAATTGAATACATTCCCTTAGTTTTTGCAAACATGAGTGTTTCACAGGTGGTGACTTCTTTGGTTAGTTGTTACTTTTGTTGTTATTGTAATTTTTTTAATTTATTTTTTATGTAATTTGATTTATTTATTTTGTCAGTGCAAAGGAGATGACATTTTCGGGAACCAAGGAGATTTGATTGGTGTTCCAAACGTGGGAATTCAAGTTAATGAGAAATTTTTCATTGTGATTGGAATATAAATGGTACACCACGTGTTTTCATATAAGTAGTAGGAAATTTACCTTTTAAGTTATTAACTTTTTAACACACATATCTCACTATTTGTATAGTAACATATGATGTACCATCCCGTGTTTTGGTTACATTAATGAGTGGGAGTAGTTAATTTTAAATTCCATTTTTCTCGTCACCAAATAAGAATATTACTTGAGAGGTTAGTCTATGTTATTTTCCCCTAAAGCGTTAAATCAAAACATCTGGTTGCTGCATGTCATCATTATTTCCTTCGTGTGGCTCTTCGGGTCTCCCATCCCCTAGGATATTTCCTTCGGATGGCTTTTCGGGTCTCCGATCCCCTAGGAAACATGCTTGGGGTGTTCTCATAAACCTTCTCAGCTTTCCCTCATAAATCTTCTCCATATGATCAAGCTCAACCCCCGATGTAAGACTATTTAATAAGAAAAGTTGGACAGAGATCCCAGTCGGATCTCCCCACCAAATCCTAAGGATTCGGAGATCTGGACCCTTGAAATTTGATCCAACAGCTATAATTATTATCACTTTTAGAAGGATCTCCTTGTTTGTAGCAGTTGGATTAAATTTCAATGGTTCGGATTCTTAGGATTTGGTGGGGTGAGATTCGACTGGAATCTTTGTTCAGTAAAATTAACCAAAACCCACACAGCTGAAGCGATTCACCCCCACCAAAACCCTCACAAATCTCACGCCTGAAGCTAGTCAGTCTAAAATAATTCATAGTAACAAAAAATCCAATGAGTGTTAATGAGATTTACCATTAGTTTACAACGAGTCATAAATTTGAACTAAGCCACACACATGCCAAGTTTATAACCAGTTTCGCGTTGTTATTTTTTGTTGGAATTTAACGTTAGAATTTTTAAAGCAGCTTTGTGTTATTTTGCTGTCTCAAAATAATGGGTGCAGCTGTATTGGGCCTGACTGGATGCTAACAAAAGAAATGAAAATCTTTTATCCAACCAAAAAGTAACCCAATTTAAAGGGTAATGCTAGGGAGATTTAATTTGGAGACAAAATTTGCAAACTAAATGACCTGTCACTAATAGGAATGAGCAAATTTATCAACACTTAAGTAATAATTCAATCATTAACTTCTATATCCTTTAGTTTCTAAAATTTTATCTACAAATTTGTTCTCTCTAACATTATCCCAAACTAAATGGCTACTATTTTAGTGGTGATAGTTTCTTTTGTTTATAAATTTAGTTTCCCTAGTATTACTCCAAACTAGCTAATAATTTTAGTGTAAATAGTGGTAGTTTCGGAATTTTACAACAATTGGTTTTCCCTTTCAGTAAGGTATAGAAGATAAGGATGATGTGAGGGAGGAAATGTTAAGAACTTGCTCAACCTAGACAATACAGCAATGGAGAAATGGAATGGAGTAGAAGGGAAGACGACGAGCAAGGAACTCGTGCCTATAATTTTTTTATTAATAAAATTGATATATCTGTTAGAGAAATAACCCAGACATTGCTCTATTTAAGTAGCCTTTCCACTCATAAATGCCAACTTAGCATTCCTTTACATAACTAACTCACTAAAGGACAAACCCTTTTTTAACCAACTAAAATTACAAATAAAAGGAATAAAATGCATTTCCTAACATCATTCCCCCCTTAAAATCGACCTTGTCCACAAGGTTCAAAGCTGAAACTCTGGGAACTTGGCGTGGAAATCATCATAATCCTCCCAAGTAGCTGTGTTCTCTTCTTGCCCGACCCACTGTACTAGCAACTGAACACTTGCCTTGTCTCATTTCTTATAAATTCTTCCGGCGATTATTGCCAAAAGTGCATGTGAGGAATGAGAACCTTGCTCCTAAACTTTATCAATCAAGGGTGGCAATGTTGTTACTGGTAGATCCACATTTCCCATGTGCCTTTTGAGGCAGCTAACATGAAAAACCGGATGTATTTTTGTCTCTTCAGGCAATTTGAGCTTGTAAGCAACAGGTCCCACTCTCTCTAACACTTCATAAGGCCCACATTATTGAGGATGCATCTTGTGATGAACACGTGAAGCCAATGTTTGTAATTGGTATGGCAACAATTTGAGATAGACTAAGTCACCAACAGAAAACTCCCTTTTAGTCATTTTCTTGTTTGCTTGAACTGTCATTCTACTATGAGCTATTGCTAAGTTAGACCTGAGTACAATGAGCAGCTTATCCCTCTCAACCAACTTTTGTTCCACCAAGTCCATTTTTGCAGTACCTTGCTCATAAGTAGTGACACAAGAATGGGGTACCCATGTACCAATTCAAATGGAGTGAATTTTGAAGAGGTATGATAGGAGGTGTTATAGTTCCATTCGGCCCATGGTAAACATTTAACCCAGTATTTCGACTTATTTCCCACAAAGCACCTCAGTTAGGTCTCAACACACATATTCACTACCTCAGTTTGCCCGTCACACTGAGGTTGGTTCCCCGAGCTCATGCAAAGTTGGGATCCTTGCAACTTAAAGAACTCATTCCAAAAAGAGCTTAAAAACAATGGATCTCTATCACTAACAATTGTGGATGGCATTCCATGCAACTTGAATATGTTATCAACAAACAACTGAGCAACAGTCATGGTAGTGTAGGGATGAGCTAAAGCCAAGAAATAAGCATACTTAATCAACCTATACACAACCACAAAAATGACAGTTTTTCCCTTGCAAGGGGGTAATCCCACAATGAAGTCTATACTTATATCAGTCCAAATTTTCTGAGGAATTGGCAAAGGTTGAAGTAGACCTGGAGGAGATAGAGTTTCATACTTGTTTTGTTGGCAAGTATTTCACTCAGAGATGTAGGTCTTAATGTCACCATTCATACCTAGCCAATAAAAACCCCTTTTTAGCCTTTGGTAGGTTTTCAAAACCCATTGGTGTCCTGCTGCAGGTGTAGATTGGTACTTAGCCAAAAGCTTAGACTTCCAAGTGGAATTGGGGCTGAGAACTATCTTGGACTTATACTTGAGTAAGCTATTGTCAACATGATAGTGGGCTAACTTATAACCACTAGTTACTCCCTTCCCAAGATCTGTAATCTCTGCCAATTTTTGCTTGATCCAAGCATCTCCTTCATTGTACCTTTTTAACTTATCAAACCAACCAAAATAAGGGTAAGAGATAGCTTGACAACTCATAGAGGAATCGGTGGTCGCATTAGAGCATTGAGTAACAGAATCTGTGTCATGTCTTCTAAAGAAAACTTCAACAACTATGTTGTCAGCCCCGTTCTTGAAGTGAATTTCGTAATCAATCCCCATCAATTTAGACACCCACTTTTGTTGGAATAATGTGTAAGCCCTTTGGTTAAGGAAATATTTCAAATTGCAGTGATCAGTCTTGATTATGAAGTGCCTACCTTGTAGATAAAACTGCCATTTCTTGACAACATGGACAATCGCAATGAGTTCTCTTTCATATGTGGAAATGGATTCATTCTTGGGCCCAATGCTCGACTAGTGAATGCAATTGGTATTCCTTGTTGCTACAAAACTGCACCAATCCCATTATTGGAGGCATCACATTCCAACTCGAATGACAGTGTTTAAAATTAGGTAAAGCAATGACCTGTGGAGAAGTCATGGTATCCTTGAGCTTCTGGAAAGCTTATTTAGCTTCTGTAGTCCACACAAATCCATCATTATTAGTCATGTGATAAAGTGGTTAGTAAATTTTGCCAAAACCAGGCACAAATTTCCTGTAATAGGTTGTGAGACCAAGGAAACCTCTCAACTCATTCACTGTATTAGGCTTAGGCCATTCCAGTATAGCCTGAATCTTGGAGAGCTCAGCTTCTACACCTTTGCTTGACATAACATGGGCCAAATACTCCACTCTACTTTATCCAAAAGCACATTTATGTTTCTTAACATAAAGTTGATGCTGTTGCAAAACTGCAAATGCCATTTTGAGATGCAACAAATGGTCTCCCAAGTCTTAGTATAGACTAATATGTCATCGAAGAACACAAGGATGAACTTCCTCAAATAGGCCCTGAATATATCATTCATGAAACTTTGAAAGGTTGCGGGGGCATTAATGAGCCCAAAAGGCACTAGAAACTCATAATGACCTTTATGTGTTTTGAATGCAATTTTTCAATGTCTTGAGGATGTATCAAAATCTGATGGTAGCCGGACCTTAAATCAAGTTTAGAGAAAAACCTAGCACCATGTAACTCGTCTAAGAGGTCATTAATCAAAGGAATAGGGTACTTGTCCTTGATTGTTATGGCATTGAGTTCCTTGTAGTCCATACACTTTTCCATGATCCTTTTTTCTTCTTCACAAAGAGAACTGGACAAGAGAATGGACTGTGGCTTTGTCTGATAAAACTTGCATTAAGTAGTTCTTGGATTGCATTCTTGATTTCAATCTTTTGCAAGGGACCATAATGGTAGAGTCTTATGTTAGGGGGTTTAGATCCAGGAAGTAGTGGAATCTGATGATTGTGAACCCTACTAGGTGGTAGTGCAGTAGTTAAGGCAAAAACGGTCCCAAACTGCCCCAACACTTCTTGTAGTTACTTGAGCTACAAGGAATTTAATTCACATGCTTCAACCATTTTTCCTTCAAAGGAGTAAATGAATAATCCCAGATTTGAGTTGGAAATCTCCTTGTCCAAATGTTGGAGAGTTGTTTTTTGAATCAGTGGAGCAGTTGTATCATTGTGAGTGAGTTTGTACATTATTGGTAAATTCCATAGTTAGTAACTGAAAGTCCCAGAGAACCAGGCTAATTGAGGAAAGCCATTGGACCCCCAAGACTATTTCACATCCTCCCAATGGCAAGGAATCTAGATCCATAACACAATCATAACCCCTAATGGACAAAGTAGCATTAGTGCAACAACTTGAACTACTAACCTTACCCCCATCTGTAATCATCACTTCAAATGGTCTAGTAGGTTGAGTATGCCAAGCAAATTTCTTAAGGAGTCTAGAGTCCACGAAGTTATGGATACTCCCTAAATCCAAAAGAACTATGACTTGTTGACCATTCACTGAGCCTATGACCTTCATTGTCTTCACAGTGGTCTTAGCAAGTGTGACATAAAATGCACGTTTACTAAGTTCCATCTAAGATAACTTAGGGGGTGGTTCCTTTAATAATTTAGTGGTAATCTCATCTTCAGGGTACACTAAGTCGAGGATAAGAAGTTGCTTGTTAGCATATTTATGTCCCCTGCTCAGTTTCTTATCACAAAACCAACAATCGCCCTTCTCTCTTTTTCTATGAATCTCTTCAGGAGACAACCTCTTCACAGGAAAATTGGAGGATTTAACAGTACGAGTGATGAGTGGTGTAGTAGATGGGTGAATGGTGCGAGCCTGTGGAAAAGGCTAAACGGAGCTACTCTTCAGAGCACACAATTTAGTATCAAGTTGTAAGGCAATTGAAATAGCATCATGCATATAAGAGGGTCGCAAAACATCATATGTAAGTTCACGCTTCAAGCCACCCAAGAAGCAGCTCTTTAACAAATTAGGGCCTATATTATGAGTTCGATTTGCCAAATGTCTAAACTCAGTGATGTAATATTTGAGAGTACCTGATTGTTTCAATTTGAAGAGTGCCTCAACACTGTCTTCAAATTAAGAGGGCCCAAACTCTCTGCAAAAGGCGTGTGTGAAATCCTCCCACCGAGGAGTGGTCTGTAAACAGTCGTGCCATCGAAACCATTGGAGTGCCTCCCCTTCCAAGTGGAATGAAACTGTTAGGACTTTCTGAAGCTCAGGAAGGGAAAAGTAAGTGAAAAACTGCTTTGATTTATAGATCCAAGCAAGTAAATCTTCATCAGTAGTAAATCTGGGAAAATTGATGCGAGGCTGCCAAATTTGGCGATGAGGGTAGGGACCGCCGTCGTGAGGTTCGCAACGAGGAGGCGGATAAGGGTCAAGGTCGCCGGGATATGGAGAATCGGCAATGATGGGTTGAAGAGGAGGATCAGCGTTTGAAGAGGAACCCCCACCCCCATGAGTACAAGCGATCTCGTGACGGAATTGTTCCATGAACATCGCCATTTTCAAATCAATGGATTCAGAGAGTGCAGCAATAGAATACTCCAAAGCAACGACTCGAGCGTCCATTTGAGATAATCGAGTGTTGGGATTGTAGTGAAGCATGCACAGAGGGACCAAGATCAAAATTGGGTGATACCAATGTTAAAAACCTACTCAACCTAGATAGTACATCAATGGAGAAATGGAATGGAGTAGAAGGGAAGACGACGAGCAAGGAACTCATGCCTATAATTTTTTATTAATAAAATTGATATATCTGTTAAAGAAGCAACCCAACCGTTTCTCCATTTAAGTAGCCAGTCTACTCAGAAATGCTAACTTAGCATTCCTTTACAACTAACTCACGAAATGACAAACTCTTTTTTAACCAACTGAAATTACAAATAAAAAGAGGATGGGGGCCGAGTTGCAGTGGCACTAGAGCCAAGAAAACTTTCACCTTACCCAAGTTCGATTCCCCCCACCCCCAAGTTTAACCAATGACAAAAACAAAAAAAAATTACAAATAAAAGGAATAAAATGCATTTCCTAAGACCATCTCCAATGGTGACCTAAAACCTAAAAATATTTTGCCCAGAAAATTTAGGTTTTAGCCCAGAAACAACTTTTCTACTCTAACCCTTCTGGCCTAAAATTTTAGCTCCAGATTATCAAAGAATGAATTAAGGCTATTTTTTTTAAAATTAACTTTAAAAAAAAATTATGTAGACTATCCTAAATTAATTTTATGAACATTTTAACCTAAAAATATTTAAATTCCGATAAATTTTGAAAAATTACTAAATCAATACATCAAAATCATGATAAACCACATAAACTTAAAAAAAAAAATGACAATTAATAAACCACATAAACTTAATACAATCGAAAACTCATAGACTACATAAACTTAATAATGATATCCACCATCTTGACTTCGTGATGGACTTGGGTGATAGTCTTGAGATGAATCATCATCTTGAAATATATTCCTTGTGGCATTCCTTCATAAAATTTCCTTTTGCTTACCACGTAAGTATTTCTTCATCTCTAGAGTGTATTTGTCGAGGTCCTCCATTATCAAATTAGTTTCATACCTTTCTTGCTCCCTATCCCCTTCTTCCTTTATGGCCAAAAGCATTTGGGCCGATTCTTCTTGCCGATGACACTGGTTTTTGTTCATTCTTGCCATTTCGCTAGCAAATTGTGTACGTGTCGGATCTTGGGACTTCCCTTTTCTCTTTGCTTCCTTTTGCTTATCTCTACCCGAGGGCCTTGCAAAAGAAGAAGTTGGGGTTATTTGTTCGACACCTTCATTGTCGGCAAAATTCACACCTTCATTGACATCATTTGGGGGTGAGGCTTCACTATGAAATAATCTTCCACATTGTTGGTTCGCATCGGTTCCCCACCTCGGACAATCCTTGAGGATGTCCCAAGCATGATGCAACTTAAAAGCTTGATTTTTTGGTGTAGTTCTTGTCTTGTAAATTGTCATTGTTTTGTCACCCTATGCAACAAATACATTAAAACAATTAGTTGCAAAATCCTATTATGTACATGACAACTAAAATATCAACAAATAAACTCACAATTTCTGAGGCGCCCCTTCCACTAGGCATGTCAACCATGGCTTTCTCCAAGCTTCCCTTCCACAAAGTGCACACTTTGTTGATAATCTTCCACCGATCATAAAACACCACCAACTTCCCTTCGACCGGCGTTGGAGTTTTCATGGAACTTATCAACTATTTTACCCCACAAAACCTTTCTATTTTGATTGATGCCGATGACACCATCTTCGCTAATAGAAATCCATGCTAAACATAAAGCAATATCTTCGTCAAAGGTCCAATTACGACGTCTAACATGTTCTTTTGCCATCTTGAAAATTTTGGAAATGAGAAGAAATGATAGAAAGAAAAATTAGAAGAATTGTAGGAGAAAAGTGAGTTTTGTGTGGATGTTTGAACAAATACATAGGTATTTATAGAGTTTTTGGTTGAATTTTAAGTTAAATATTTTTTTTAAAATTATTTTAGCAGTTGGATTTAAATTTGGACCGTTATATTTTTTTTTTATCGTTAGATTTGATTATATTTGATCTAAACTGTTGGACTCCATAAATATATAAATATAAAACTAAAAAATAATAATTTGAAACTGGACCTTTGGATTAACCAACGGCCCATTTAAATATGGCTGTTTGATCAAAAAAAGTAGTTGTTAGGCTGCTGACGCCATCTGACAGCAGGGGACATGCCCACGTGGGTGGGGTCCCTGTGGGAATCCGGCTGGCGCGTTGCTGCGCGTTGGGCGATTGGCTCAAGCATCCGGCCTTCACAGCCCGTGTTTCACTCACAACAGGTAGGGCCCATAATGACTTCTGGCCTAAAAACAGGCTGCTATCTGGCCTTCTCTTGAGTTTTGGGTTTTAGGTTTTGTTTAGCACATGGGTTGGAGAGAGGTTTTGGGGTGGGGGAGAGGGAATTTTAGGTTATAAGCCATTGTTGGTGTTGGTCTAACAGTAAACTCTGGGTTGGGATCATCTCGGATCCCCTTCCTGGGAATTCAAGGATCCTCTAATTCAACAAACAATTAACGGTCAAGATTCAAGTACAAACAAATACGCTTTCATATTGCGGGCAGCCCGTCGAATCCCACCACCATAGACTCTGCCATCAGGCTTGAACCTGGACTCCGCCGTCGACTTCTCGGATTTGAACTAGATTCGACAGAAACCCACGTCGTCGGAGCACAAGAATTGCCTGCACCCAACATCGCCGTAGCATTTATCTGCTGCCTCACATCGCCGCAGCACTGTCCGACGATATCGGCAATCCAATGCAACCTATCGATAAATTGAAGATAAAATCGTGGATTAAATTTGGGAAATCAGGTATTATAGAGCCACTGGGAATCTCCAGTTCGTATCATTAACTCCGGAGAGAGCTCTCACGTAAGCCCTCCATCTCTCTTCTTCTGTAAGCCTAACAAATCCGTCGATACCAACACCGACAATCCTCTTCTTCTGTCACCCACAACCCAGACTTGAATCTGGACCGTTAATTGTTTGTTGAACGCTCAGGATAGAGGATCCCAAGATCCCCGGGAAGGTATCCGGAGATGATTCCAGTCCGAAACTTTGTATTAAACGCCCGCTGACCCAAAAAAATTATAAACGCCGCCTCTCTCTCACCACATGAGCAAAACCGTTGCGCGATCTCTCTCTAATTCACAGACACAGCCATGGGGCCCTTGAAATCAGAATCCGTCCGGATCCGGCCTGATGAACAACCGATGCGGCCTACCAAACAACCACGGCTTGCAGAGGCAGAAGAATCAAAAGCGGCAGAGGCACAACAACAAAAGGTGGCTGAGGCACAGGGACGAAAGAAGTTTGCTTTTGATTATGGTGTGCAGGAATTGTGTTTTTTCTCTTTCTTTTTGTTCCAGAATTTAATTTCATACCTAAATTTTTGAGATTTTAATTTGAAATTATTTACTTTTGGTTTATGTATTAGAATTTCGTTTGATATCGTAAGTTTATGCTGAAAATTTGTGTAATTTATTGACTGTTATATACACACACATATAAATCCAGCTGTTCCTACTGTATTGAGATCCTCCTTCAACCCCCGTCACCGGTACTCCAGTCCCTCCATTTAGGTTTAGGTTTTCCTGTCCGTTGTTATTGTCATATATAGGTTGAGAGGACTAATGATTTATTACTAATGTTTTGAGGAAATGTCGTGCCAAAGTTTTTGGATCAATTTGATCAGTTTTTCTAGTTGGGGTGTGCTATGCACACATCCCTTTTTACTTCTAGTTGGGGTGTGGCTAATTTGACATAAATTTCTTTGTTTGATGGACTTGAGATCGGAAATACTGAAAAAAATAGAATACGTGGAAACTGAGTTAACTTCTATGAAATGAATCAATGGGGTTCATGATGATTGATTTTTCTCTATGCTCATTATGTTCTTGAGACTCTTGCTAATTTTATCTTTTTCCCGGTTTACCATCATTCAATACTTCTCTATGTTAAAATAGAGACAATTTGTAGTTATTGGTCATGCAATGTGCGTTGTGTGGTCAGTGGCATTGATTTCTTCTTTTGGTTTGGTCCATAGCTAAACAAACCCCAAAGTTCAGGTACTGTCTCATTTGTATGAAGAATGATCACAGTGCACCACTTTGCCCGTACGGGAGATATTGCTCACCAGACATAACTGTTGGCCCAGATGCTGCAATAGTCTGTACATGTTGCCATGGTGATCCAAAAACTGCCCACCCTGATGTGGCTGATGTGGAAATGGTAACAAGAGCTGTGCTCAAGAGTTCTCTGCCACTATCAAGGTGGTAATCATACTGAGCGCTGTACTCAAGCTTTATCTGTGGTTTGAAGAATTCGGAGATGTTCACATAGGTTCGAGGAATTTTATGGATTTTATCTTCATCGTGTAATGATCATCGCTTTGGGAGAATTTGTTTGAGATGTTATTAAGGAACAATGGTGTTATAATTGTTGTTATCCGGTGCTATTATTGCAATGTACTGAATTCTGTTTGTTGGATGTTAATGTTTACAAGTATTTGAGCCTTCCTTATTCGTATTCACAAGCTCTTTTGTTTTGAATGTCACTTTTTGAGAATTTTGTTTTGTTTTCTTGTGTTTGTTTCGAGTGGATGATCCCCTTCGGATTGAGATAAAAAAAGGGAAATTCTTATCCTTTTATTATTTATTTTGGTCTGTAATTGCTGCCGCTGGCTTCAAATTGTTCATCTATTGCAGCTGCAAATATCGAATGGTAAAATAACTATTTAGCATAGACATGGAGTATCCCCCGATTTCGAATTTTCATCCTCCAAGCCAATTCCGGCAAGAATCAGTCAGTCGACTCTCTCGTGCAGTTTGTTGGAGGAAAAGAAAACCCCTGCTTCGAATGCAGACAGAACGGCCTAAAGAACATCCACCGTTTTTCATGGCCTGAACACTGCCGAACTACCACTCCCATGTTACACATTCCCGAATCCGTCACCCCACCACCCGCCTCAGATCATGACAATTCCTGAAGAACCATTGAGTGACTCTCTAAAAGATGTGGAAGGCCTTTCTTTGAGATTCTCTGTATAAGGAGACTTCAAGCATACTGCAGCAACTAGACAAAGGGAAACTGATTGAAGCCATAACTGCAATGTCCCCGTCCAATAGCAATGTCGGTTCTACTTATGGTCCTGGCAGCAGGCAGAGGCTATTTGTAATAGCCATGGGCTGTTATGGACCAGAATGGAGACGACACCTAGGTCTTCCTACAAAAGCCTGATAAACAGTCTACCCGCAGTTACTCAATTTGGTCCTGCAGAATCTTCAACTACTCAGTTTCCCCAGCTTTATCTGATAGAAGAGCATTGTATTCTTCTTCGAGGCTCTTTACATCCATTACCCCTTAGCACTGGCTGGAATCTTCAACCATTCTCCTTGTGATACAAGGAATATTAAAGAGAGAGTTACAACCAAACTAGGAAACATAAACAAATTCCTAATCCACCTAAAACTTTGACTCAGACCAACAGATAGAGTTTACTACTGTTGTGTGTTAAGGGGTAACCGGATCCTCTAGTGTATAATGGCGGAGATTGTGAAATTGGCAACTTGGCGACTTTGTGTTTGGAAAAGAGTCCTCCTTTTCGAACGTGGTATTTCGAGACGGTGGGTAAAAGGACTTATTTCACTATTGTTGATGATAGTTTGGGGAATACCGGGGTTGTTCAATTTTTAGAGCATTTGAGGGACGAATTCAACAAGATAGCCAGGAAGGGTTCAAGGGGAAGTCTGTCGAGTATGAGCTCTGCTGGCATGCAAGAACAGCTTGTTCCGTAATCCACCGCTTGATCACCTCCTTGGAGACTGTTTCCCAGGGTGGTAGTAATTGGACAGCTGAAGTGACAGGGCATGCCGGTCTTTCTCCATCACCAAGTAGTGCGAAATGACAAATTGAAGCTGCCAATTCTACAAAAGCCCCTCCGTTGGGGAAGTCCAGCAAGCAAGATAACAAGAAGGCTAAAGAGCATGTTATTGCAATGAGAGACATTGAGTTGGAGGAACATAGGAAATCTACGGAGAGAGGAGTCAGTATTGAATCAGCTAATTTGGATTCCAATAACCAAGCTGGAGCAGATTCCTCAGTTGCATTACAAAAGGATTTGGGATCAATGAGGATTAGGTCAGGTTCACAAAGCAGTCGAAACAAGTGGTGCCGCCAAGTGCGAATTGTGTTATACTGTTTTTTATTTGGTTACTGATTTGTAGTGGTATCGAGTGCATATGTTGAATATCTTGTGATCAGTGTCTAAAGTGAAGTTTGAGATCACGACTGGAGGGGTAGAAAGTCATGTCATCAAGAAATAGTTGGCGGAGAAAGGTGGGTGGATTAGGAGAGAGTGAGAGAAGTATATGGTCGATGAATTTGTCGTATACTTAGTTTTATGAGCATACGAACTTCTCAGTCAGTCGGAGTGTTCCGATGCTCTTTAGTGATTTCACAACATTCTCTTCTTAGTTGCTGGGATTTTTGGTGGTCCGTCATGTCCGTGCTTTGTGTACCATATCATGCAATGAAGCATTCTGGCATGGACGACCATTTGGGCAAACCGTTTTAAAGGTAGCATTTGCTTGAAATATTGAGACGCGGCATCTCTAATAGGAATAAATTCTCAGAGAAATGTTAATTTTCAATAGAGACTAGAGCGGGACCCCACCAAACTATAAATTGAATATTTAAGAGCCTCCATCAGCCGTATGCTCTTCTTCATGGAATGAAATTCATATTTTCAAAATAAGAAAAAGATCAGAGCCCCCATCCAATCCAATCCAATCCAATCCAGAATTTAGGGCTTGGAGTTCCCGCCCAAGAGTTTCGTCTTTGGAAAGCCAGATTCTTAGGAGACCTACCTTAAGGAACATCATCTGCGGAAAGTGACGTATGCTGGGCTGAAAGGGCAGCACGGGCCCCTCTCCAGCCTTTTGACTATATTGCATCATATTCCGTCGACGACCACAGGCTGGGACAGTCGTATGCAATCCAACCAGATATACGACACAAACTCCCCGAGTTGCTTAAAGACGGCTCGATGCTGAGAGTGAAGTGCTAAAGCGGGGGAATTGAAGCTTCAAATGTCCGTCCCCACAAAGACCCTGAAAACAGCATAGTGATGATTCAAGCTTCTTTGGCCTTGCAGTCTGTGGACACTTCCCAATGCTCCTGCTTTTGGGTTTGGATATGCATAGAATATCCGCCTGATCCTCTGATGCACAAGTGCCATTGCACACCTTCATATACAATTCACAATCACAACACCATTATTATCATTACTTAACCATAATAGAAAAAAAAAAAAAATCTAAACTCAGAGCTCGATCGGTTTCAATAACTTACATTATGCACGGCTCCCAAACAAGGTACATGTCAAAACCTGTGCATAGATAAGGCCTCGCTGATAGCGATCTGCTGCAACCTTCACCATTCAAGTCCAGATTGTCTTCACCATTAACCTGAATCTGTGATAAGACGACTCAAGTATAAAAACTTGAACACAAGCCAGCCCCAACAACTTCAACTGTGAAGTAGCATATATCAGGGAAATGAAAATATATTGTGAAGAAAGAAACAACTCACATTTGTGGGGTTGGTCTTTTGTCTCTTTGCCAGAGAGGCTGCTGAACAAGACTGCATGCGGTCCATTTCAAATGACTTATCTTGTGTTTTTCCCGAACTGGGGAAAAGAAGCCTGTCCCTGGCAGCAGAAGACTCAATAGCAACAATGGAAGCGTGGCGTAAAGGGTGGCAATAACGCAAACTCATGTCTGATTCTTGCTCAGCCCATCCCCAAGGACATAAACAAGAAACGCCGGTGTACAACTGTTCTGATTTAGCTGGAAAGCCATTTGAATGCTCTTTACGGCTCAATGCACCACCTGAAATGCCATGGCAAACAGAAGTTTCCAGCTTTTCAATGCAGCTGGTTTCAAGGGTGATCTTGTTTTTGGGATTATAGCAAGAACAAGTTTGATCACATGCTTTCGCAATAACCTGTTTAACAGAAGGATCCACTATAACTGCAGCGTTGACTTCCTGCAGATAGAGTTAAGGAGAACAGTTATATAGCAAGCACCAAGCATGGCTCAGTGGTATGCAAAAAATGAGGCCTTGCATTGCATTGCACAAAATGAACTCCTTGAACTCTCCACCCATTGCCATTTGGTTTTGGGTTGGATGCCTTAACTTTCACATGATATCATAGCAGGCAATCCATCCACAAGCTAAGACCAGTTTGGTCACACATACTCTACATCACCCAATCCACATGTTGCGCTCAGGCCAACCACATGAGGGGATGTGTTGAGAATATAAATCAACATCAGGTCGTAAGCCTTACATCAACTTTAACAAGTTTCGTATAGAACTTAGTTCCTACTGCAGAATTAACTAACAATCAAGATTATGATAGCCTTTTTCTCATTATTTTTAAAAGGAAAAGTGAATATCTTCTCAAGAGTAGACTATTGTAGTCCTCAGACTAATGCTGATCCATGCGAAGCAATAACAAGACTACAACAGGACGCTGGCTGAAAAATAAATAAATAATAAGACTGCAAGAGATAACAAAATTGACTTCACCCCAACCCTTCCAGTTCATTCAGGAATACTTTCAAAGTATTAGCGTCATTTTGAATATTAGAAAGCTGATCAGGAAAGGACGACCTAAATACCAATCCTGTTGAGAGTGAGAGTAATACTTTACCAAATTATCACCAGACTTTGCCAACTGAATAGCATACTTCATGAAGCTGAAGACTGATTGTGAGTCCTCTTGACTGAATCCAGTAATGCCTTCAATATTACTGTATTTAAAAGATCACGGGCAAACACAAAAAGAGTCAGAATAATGTTAAACAAATAATTATTTGACATATCTATTCCGGAACTGCAGAACTGAGGAGCCACCAAGAAAAAAGCAAGTAACAAAACTAAACTGCAAAGGTGCAGATAGAAAGGAAGTTTTATGTAACCATCCAATATAATGCCTTCTACTAGTAATTGCCAATGTTTTCCTGTTGGTGTTAGCATAGCTTCGAGTTTGTGCATATAAGTTGTGATGAAAATTTTCGTTCATATATAAATAAGGCAACTTTCACCTCCTCATGACCCTAGATTTTAATCAAGGGAAGCTATCGCATGACCCTGCTCCATCATTTATGCTCAGGAACAAATCTAGGACTAGTGTTCATTGTTACTGAGACATCTTTCACCTCCAATTCAGCTCAATCTTAGAAAGAAAAAAACTAAAGACTCCTGAACATCAACAATACATGAAAAATGAAAAAATAGTGCTAAAAAACACTGACGTAAACCAGCATAGTTGGATTACATTTAATATTAAAAGAGTGGTAGCTTACTAAGTTGGGGGATGATAAGATGTTGGCCATAACTTGCATTGTTCTTCCCACTCTTCTTTTGATGATGCAGCATACTTGCAGACCTAAAATTGAGTGGCTTTAGATGTTGGCCATAGTCTAGTTTAATGGTAAAGGAAACAAACACAAAAGCAAGTTTGGAGACTACTAGAAGAAGAGTAGGCCTTCAGAAGATAATAACAAACTCTCAAACAAATCGAAATTCAATAGCCAAAATGGGGTCATAAGTTTATGTGAAAGAAACGGATCCATATCACTGTATATACAAGGCAAGGCCCAAATAAATAGCATGAAAGTGAAGTATTAAGTAAGACAAAGTCCAAAGACAAGCTTGGATTCAGTAAAACACAATTAAAATGATTGCATTCAGATATAAGATTATACAGAAGAAGAAAAATGGTAGTAATTAACATATTTCAAATCCATGGATTTATGACCTTATGACTCCCTTAGGAAAACACTTTTGATCCTACATCATCAAAGCCCACCATATTTCAAATCTACGATCAAGCACGAGCAAATTCTTCCTAAGCATCTTGAGAGGAAAAGTAAATGTTCCTAGAGTGATCAAGCAGACATCCTAACATAAATTAACAAGAGGCCCAACTTTCATAAAAGAAAACTTAAGAAAGAAAACAAGAGGTTCATTCTTTCTTGGCAACAAAATAATAGATGATTCATAACTAATAGTATTTTTCATCGAGCTATTTAATTCGTAATGTCAATTTATTGACTGTGCAATATTTTAACAAGAGAAACATTAAGGTTACATACTGAAGTATTTAAGATAATCAACTTAAACAACTACGACCATAATTATTCCAATAGTACAGTAGTAGTCTTTATAATGTATTTTTGTCATGATAGAAAAGAATCATAACAACAAGAATGGGCAATACATATGTTCAGATTATTTGTTATTCTGCTATTATTACTTTCAGATGAAGAAAAAAGTACAAGTCAAACCTTGTTAAATAAAAAGAGAAAGACCCACTTTTGTGATAAAAGGACTCAACTGGTAGGAATTCATCAGCTCCTGTACATCATTCTGAATGCTGTCCAACTGATTACCATTTTGAGAAGCTAGACATAGTATCACAGACAACTGAGTTTTTCCTGTATAGTGAACTGATAGTCAACACCGAATTGGATGTACCCGAAAGATAAGATAGTAAGAACAATTTGGTAACCATGTCAGGTAATTATCATCTTGGCCGTCATTTACTTGCTGCCTGAACCCCAAATCAGGGGAATATCCAGCAAGACTTGGAAATATGCATAAGTGTTAGACAAATCCTATTGATATGCTAGGGTAACATTCATAAACAATTTTGTCATGCTGATTATTATTTTGGTTTGATAGACATGTTAGAGCATATTAGAGGCGATGTAGGGCAGGACACCCCATCTTAGGGAGGTGTAGCTTTCTTTGACTAATTGCAATAAAGAAAACCTTCTCCATTGGATAACGAATGAACATCTCCAATTCACTACCAATAACCCTTTTGAACCAAGTCGAGCACACACACAATTTAGCTTTTTGATAATCTTAATAAATTTAACAAATGGGTTTAGGGTTTAAGAGATACAGACAGACCTCCTTGAACAAATTTCTTGTGCACCCGCTTGATGTGCCGAAGATTTTCCAGCGGTGCAATTTGGTTCAAACGCCTACACAATTACATCAATTTTGTCAAAAGTAAGAAAGAAATTAAACAAGTGCTACATGGCCGCCAGTAAAGCAAACCAAGCTTACCTTACGAGAGTATTGGCAAATAAAGGGTCTATAAGTGAAGCAATTGCATCGACGGTAGGTTGTTGGTCGGGAGGGAATGGGGGGTTGTCGGGGATGTGGACTATCTGCCACGTCTCCTCCATATTCTAGCTTAAACCTAGCTACCACTAGTAGACCTTGTTGCACTTGCCGGGATGATTGGAGGCTTCACTTACCACCAAGTAACACGTAAGTCACTGATTATGTGAACCAGAATAAACATGGAACGGAATAATTTCATTTCTTAGGGTTTATGGACTTTATAAGATTAAACTAATATTTGAAAATTGACAAAACACTGCAGCTCAAAGTTTTAAACTTTACTTTGGATGGCTATCCACCTGCAAAAAAGGAATTGAAATTTCATTCAAAGACAAGGTAGATTTTGATTTTTAGGGTTTAATTAGTAAAAAGGGTTAATCTCAATTTACTATTCTAAAGTTTTTTGGTTTTCAACATTTCATACATCAAGTTTTTTTTGTCCCAGTCTAGCACCTAAAGTCATAATTTTAGAACACTTTCATACATCCGTAGTTCTCCGTCATAACTTCCGTTAACTGAATGATGTGATGCCTGTGTGAACAGTTAACTGATGATGTGATGCCTACGTGAACAATGAATGGAAGACATGTGTCAATATGGCCCATATGTATATTACAAAAAATTTATGAAAAAAAAAAAAAACAAAAACCCTAAAAGCTAAACCATAAGGAACTCTTTCTGGGTTTCTGAGATCAAGCCGAAGAGATGTAATCATCCTCCTTCACTTACCCACCTCCCCATGTGATTCTTATAAATCTCCCTTGCCCCTAAGATACGTAATCAAATTAGTAATGACACTTTTTCAAGATTTGAGTTTTTCTTCCAAAACCAAATCTTGGTAATGGGGTTGATTCATATCTAGATTTTGTCTGAGATTCTTTATGAACAAAGAGTGTCAAAGGACTCTGCCAATGGAGTGCTTACCCGTTTCCTCAACCGCCTCTCTCTGCTTCTTCTCCTTCTTCTTTGTGGGTTCTATGAGCTGCGTGTCAGGTCTGACTCGAAATGGACTCAGACCCACCAGAGATTTTTCTGGGTTCAATTACAAACCCAGTTAGCACTTAGTGAAATTACCTAGAATGGGCTCTTGGGCCTCTCTGATTATCGACTACCGCAGACGATGTGGAGAAGGAGGAGATGGATTTGAGGGTGCATTCTAGATGGACAAGGGGATCGGGGAAGGAAAGGGAGGAGCGGAGCGAGAGAGGGTTGGGCTCCAGGACCAAGGTAGAGAAAACAATGACGAATCCAGTTCGATGCCGACAACGTCCACGTTCCCAGTTCCAGTTTGTTTTCCTCGAAGGAGGTAGGAAGGGAAATGGAGAAATGGGGTTTCGGAGAAGCGGGTAGCTCGAGCGGAGGAGGAGAAGGGAAAGGAATTGGGGTTTTTAGTTTTTTCAGTTTTAATTATTTAATTATTTTAAAATTTTTAATTTTAAAATTTTTTAATGTCCATGTGACACGTAGTCAATAGCGAAGGTTCTAACGGAAAACTTAACGAATGTATGAAAGTGTCCCAGAATTATGGCTTTAGGTAATAGACTGGGACGAGAAAAATTAGTTGTGTGCATATTGTAACTGAGGCTCTTTCTTTTTAATTATGTTGTCTTGGTAATGAATTCACCCTTTCGTCGAAAAAAATATGGAGAGACATAAACATTTCAAGTCCTGAGACGAGCTATGGTCATACACTTAGAGAAGATGAGACAAGCACATATCGAACTCCTTCATACAATTCAAAATTGGTTGCATTAGGTACATGCTGAAGAAGTGTAAGACCCCAGCTCGTCTCAACTCTTAAGATTTATAATGCAGAGTGCCCCAATCCCAATACGACGTATAAGAAGTAGGTGCTCATGCTGCTGTAAACGGTACAAAATGGACTGATGATAGAGAAATTGCTCTCTTCCAAGGCATGATGGAGGTGTAGTGAATTGGTGACCGTGGCAAGGTGGTGAGGGTGGTTGTGAGAATGTATATTGTTGTGAATTTTTTCCTAAGCCTCCTACTGTCTTGGGATTTTTAGAAATGACACTACTTACGTGAAGCTTAAAATTCAGGATTCATGACCTCCAGATTGCATGGATTTTTTACTAACATTGGATTTTAAATTTTATGTTTATAAACCCGAACAAGGAAATTACTACATTTCAGTTTGAAAGTTATTGCTTTTGTGAAATTTTCAAAAGGGTTTTTTTAGAGACTTGCACTCCCATCTCAACAACAATAACCTATTTATGTCACAAGAAACCCGGTGGTTGATAGCATTTACATGTAAGTGCTAAAAAATACAAAAACAGAAAAAAGTTTCACTGTTTTTCCTTTTTTAGGTTGGTGAAAAGGAAGTTGAGATCTTCACCGAATTTCTGTGTCCGTAGCAGGCGGACCAAAAAATCCAGTCAGTTCAAGAAACAGATTCGGACCGTTTAAGGGCTTGGTTTTGTGTGAAGCAGGTCAGGGTGATAGGCTAATGGAGTCGGCAAAATTTAAATTGAGTGGTCAACCAGTTAGTACAAAATTGTCATAAAAAACCATTTGATATGGCCTAAACTATAAATCTCACTTTCAACAGTAAAGCAGAAATAAATCCAGTCATTGAAATCAATCAAAGTTGTTGCAAAAAAGGAGGTCAAACTTGACAATAATGTGGAACCCTTTTTCTCAAACCTAGTCTCTATTTTCTAGTGTTCTAAAAAAAAGCCTAGGCATTGGCCTAGGCGCTGGGCGTGGTGATGCTGATGCGATTAGGTCCAAATCGTTAAGAAAAATCAGGGAGCTTTTACGCGCTCGCCTAGGCGCTCTTAGGCGGCCTAGGCGGCGGTCAAGGCGGCTGTGTAGGCGGAGTGGAGGTTTCCAGAGAAGAAATTCCACCGCTTCGAGTCCCTCTCTTTGTGCACCACCACCTTCTTAGCTGTTGCGACTCGCTCTCTATGAATTCCTTCGAAGAAGAGGAACTCAGAAGTAGAGGAAACAAGAAAAAAAGGGAAAATGTACAGAAGGGAAACGGAAAGAAAAAGAAAGAAGAAGAAGTGGGAAAGAAGACGAAGCAGATAAGAAAAAGAAAAGAAATAAAATTACTAAAAGTTTCGGTTTTCAAGGTATGAAAAGGGGGTTTTTTGACTGATGTGAGGGATGGGGACTAGGGATGGGGGGTAAGGGTCACCCCACGTGCTTTTTGAAATTGGGGAGGATGCATGCACCTCTTCACACAATACATGGGATTTTTATTTTTATTTTTATGAAAAATAGAGAGAACCATTCAAAATATCCTAACTAATATGGCATATATGTGTGTTTTTAAATTTTGAACTTTGGATACTAGTTTTGCATTTTATTATTTTATTATTTATTATTGTATTCATGAATTTTATACCAGTATAATTTTTTGTAAGTGTCAATATGCACTTACTTACAAGATATACAAGAAATTTACCTAAATCCACCTAGACCGCCTAGATGCCTAGGCGCTAGGTGCTAGCCCGCCGCCCAAGTAGCGCCTAGCGTTTTTTAGAACCTTGCTATTTTCATTTTTCAATTAAGGGCAAGGAAGAGAACTACCGCTCAATGAACTATTTGTAATATGACTACTATTATGCATAGACAAATGCAGTACAAAGTGACAATATATGGTGTGACCAATCAAAGACATCCCATATAATATTAAAAAGTCGTGTGCCTTTCACCATTTATATGCATATATTGCCGCAAGATACAAAATTGGATTTTCACATCACAAGAAAAAAAACAATGTTGTTCGTGGTCATTTTAAAGATAAATATACATGAAACATTCCCCAGCCAATTAGCTAGTACTCAAACAAGAACAATCATCAATCAACCTATGACAGGGATTCTGAATGATGAGCAGGAACAAAATTGCTTTCAGAAACTCAACAAAATAATAAGATGACAACTGCGTTATTGATCGTACCAGAGGAGCAGGTTCATCTAAATCCTCCCATGACTCCGTACTATCATTTTCATCCACATCTTCGTCATCCCATTTATGTATTGGTTGGTCCTTAGCAGGGAGAGCTGAAACTTTCTCATCTTCTGAAGCAGAGAAAAAAGCCAGCTTTGTAAACAAAATAACTCCACTTATATCAATTATAGCAAAGGAATTGTTATTCAAAGGTTTAGGCAAGAGAACTTAGGTGGTAAGTACTAAACATAACAATTATTAAGAGAATATAACAAGATCAACAAAAATTACCCACAAAAAAAAAAAAAAAAAAAAAAACCCCACAAACACATCTCACAAAATTTTACAGGAATACTTAAGATGGAATTAAAGCAAGCAGTATTACCCCAGTCCTCCATCTAACTTGGCGACTCTTGTATCAAATTACCCATTTTTCGACGAAGCAAAGAATTAATCCTGCATATCGAGACACGCCAACATCCATCATCAGACATAAAAAAAATTGGTAAATTAAAAACAAAAATTGAGCTGAAACAGTTGTTAGGATTTTGCGGAAACCGTCAATATATTCTTTTGGGTTAGGAAGAGAATATCCAGAAACAAAATTAGGGTTTCGATAAAATCGATCTGGAAAATTGGGGGACTTACCTTAGTAATGGAAGACGCGCGATTGATCGATCAGGTGGTGAGAAGAGTCTACGGCTCTTTCTCTGAAACCCTAATTCTCCCAGTATTCTTCCTTCTCGGCTGGCTGTCACTGTGCCCAACTCGACAACAACTTAGCCGAGGCTATCTTTTCACTTTGCTTTATATTCTTATCTTTTTTTTTTGCGTTGATGGGTCACGTCACGTGTTGGTAACTTGGGTTATTTTCCGGTTGGGTTTTAGAGTGGGCTCGAAAGAGAAATGAGGATTGAGCTAAATTTATTTTAACAAAAAACTATACTATAATTTTATTTAATAAAAAAGATTTAAATTTTAATAAAAAAAATCTTAACTTTTAATTTAAAAAAAAGACAAAAGAACTTAAATTTTAATGAAAAAACGTAACTTTAATATTAAAAAAATTAAAAAAAACTGATGTGTGAGATTTGCATGTCCTCACACATACTGTTTATAAAACTTAAATTAATTAATTATCAGATTTCCAACATAATTTATTTGGATTCTTCTGCTGGTGTTGGATTTTCTTACTCTCAAAACCAAACCAAATATATCATTCGGGATATCCAGACTGCTCTTGATACCCATGCCTTTCTCCTCCAGGTAATTAATTTGTTTTTCTAATGAATTAATCTACTCCTCAATATCATATTACATATCATCATATGCTTATTGATTATAAAGGGGATTAAAATTGTTGTCCTGTGATGCTATATATTTTCTTTTTCGTTTGTTTCTTCTATTTTGTTGCTAAGAATTACGTACTGTTTATGCAATCACAGTGGTCTCAGCAATTCTCAGAGTTTAAACCAAATCTGTTGTATATTTCAGGAAAGTCTTATACTGGAGTCTATGTGCCAATTCTTGCTTCTCAAATTGCAAAAGGTATCTAATTAATTTATTTGTATTTACATAAATACATCATTACACTAATTGCATATGTATATAATGTATTTGTTAGCGCATGATAAGTTGTCATGAGTAGGATAAGAATACTATAATGAAGGTTATACATCGTGTTTTTTATTTTTTGAACAAATGATATTATCCATACTAAGGGGGAGGGAGTGGGCTTAGCCTTTATAATGAGTTAGCAATAATATGGTTCAAATTAGCCTTTGGCAAAAATCAAACCTAAAAGCTCTCACTCACTGGTGGAAAAAAATATCACTAGACCCTCATACTAAGTGGCAATTGATGTAACTCGCAAAATAACCACAAAAAAATAAAACAAATCACAAGTGGACAATGAATTTTAAGATATAGGTGTTCGGGCAAAAATTTCGCTGAAGAAGGCTCCTCGGACCTCAGCACAGCTTCCCAAGGGATTGACACTTTGGATGTGTAGTCGCGCTCTTGCTTGTTGATGTGCTACAAGAAGAAGACAAAGTTAGTTCTGAAATGTGCCTTTGTGGGGCCTCATGTGTAGGCCTTGAGGCTTGTAATCAAAACTAACTAAGTGCTAGGCGTGCCACTGCTATCTTAGTATAGCAGATGTAGAACAAGTGTGTTTTAAGTCAATTACTTTGCGCCCCAAGTTAATCGGATTTCTTGTTATCAAAGGATTGTCGTGGATGGGTTAAGTCCACATTAAGTTCTTTTTCTTGCCTTGTGAACAAGGACTTTTAATTCATAATCTTGTATGTTCAAATGAAGGGAGTCCATATCTCCTTAAGTCATTTGTTTGGTTCTTGATTGATTTTGATGAAAGCATATCCATTAAAGTGACTAGATCTAGATACAAATGAGACTCTTAAAGTAGGAAAAGAGGTGGATATGACTTGAATACATACTGGAGAATGCATTAAGTAATAGATCTATTAACTTAGAAAACAAACAAAGAGCTTCGGGCAAGATTTCACCTTGTATGGCAAGGTTGAACTTCTTACAATTACTTTTCCTTGAAATTATAGGGTTTATATGCTAAAAAGGGATGGATGGTAAATAAGTTTACACAAGGGAATTGATACTACACCACTGAGGGAAATAACAGAGCTTTTACACTAGACAAAAGATAGCTTGTTACTAAAAGATCTGAGATCTGGGTTGATTACAGCTTGTTGATGCAAAATCTAACTTGAGAGCAGAGTTTGTTTGTTTGTTTGTTTGATTGGTTGAGTGTCCTTGACTCTGGGGCCTCTTCTTCCTTTTATAGGCAAATTAGCCTGACTGCTGTGATTTTTGCTCTTGCCTAAAAACACTTGGAGGGTAGTGAGTCATCAGCTTTTTACTTAGAATGCCACTAGAAAGTGTTCTTTGGCTGGTTATAGGTTAGTCTCCATCATTTGTCACTTCAATGGTAAGCACGTGGCTTACATCTTGGCTGAGAAGGCTTTAATTTGCCCTTGGACTCGATGCTGGGCTTCGGCCAAGTCCCCTTTAATCTGGCATCCTTGGGCTTTCCTTTATCTAAGCCCAATGTTCAAATATTAACCCAAACAGTGCCCCCTTTAATCATTGTTGAGTCTGTAAATCGAGGTGTTAATAATGATTAAATAGCCGCCACACGCCTTCACTCGGGACTTGCGCCATTTAAACTAACCGTTGTTTAATAAACCTTTGCACTAACCCACAAATTCCAACGTTAACCAACCACTTACTATATAATACTCACTTAAACTCTTTGGCCAAATACCTTAGCAATTTTAAACCTTCGAACTTCCTGAACTTCCCAGAATCCTTAGAACTTTCATAATTTCCAGAAATTTCTCCTTGCTTTCTCAGTCTTTACTTCTAATTCCAACTTTTTCTTCCCATCTTCTTCTCAGAATCCTCAATGGCACCCAAAGTTGTTCGAACTCAATCTCCCTGTGAATTTGGTGAAGGCATTTCCACCATGCGCCGTTTGCTCAAAGGCCTTCATAGCCCTTGGGCAGGCTTGCACACTGAACTTATCTTCAAGGAGGGATGAATACATTCATTGGGGCCTGCATGGACATCTCAGGTCCCAATTGCAGTAGAGACCAACATGCCCAAGGAGAATTGGTATACCTTAACCCATTTCAGGCCAAGTTGGGCATTTCGTCTTCCAAATGGTCAAACCACCGTCGTGCATTCCCACTCATGAAAGATGAGACATAGACACAATGGGTCAACAAGCTCGAGCCCACCTTCAAGCAAAAATGGATGAACAACGGAATTTATGAGCTGATAATGCTCACCAAGACCACGGTCATTGCCAAGCTTGAGTTGCTCATAACAACTCTTTTTTTTAGGAACTCGGGCACCAATACTTTCGACTTTAGGATGGGCCTAATGTCCCCAACCATCCTCGACATGGCCCAGGTCTTCAGGCTAAGGCCCTCGGGCAGGGTCGTAGATGTTACCGATGATTGGGCTCTTCCTTCTCGCCCGACCGCTGAGAGCTCGGGCAGCTCTGCCCCCTTTCTTCAAATGGAGTATAACTCCTCAACCTTCAAGAGCTACAAAACCTCATTTACAGGCTTCATCCAGTTTTCCAAGAAAGAATTTGGCCTCTCTTCCTCCAACGCCAACAGAGACCAAAAACACATGTACTTTCAGTTGTATTAGCTCAACAAACATGTCTTCCCAAATAAGTCCAAATGAGTGAAAGTTGAATGGATCCCTTTAGTGGAAACTCTGCATAACTTCGATGATATGGCAACAAGCCCCTTCCTCCTTGCTCATCTTTATCATCTCCTGAATGAGATTACCAAGGGTGAACCATTTGAAACCAACCTTAATGGTCAAACTTGGATGATTTAACTTTGGCTTCAATGGTATTTCCTCGAGCTTCGGGCTCCCAACCTTGAATTCCCTGATGATGTTACTCTTGCTTGAATTTAGCCAAAGCTTTTCCAACCAATCATTCTACATTCGCTTGTCTTTATTTCTTCAGAGTTTGCAGAACTCAGGCAGATCTGGAATGCGGGGTCTCCATGCTTAGGAGATAACCTTGGTTTTATGACCAAGCCTTCCAAGACGCATTTGGAGAAGATGCTAGTCTTTTATGTAGAAAGAGATTTATCAGTTGTATTTGACCAAGGGACTTAGCTTGGTGAGTAAGAAGTGACCGCTATGATGGGCTAGAGGTTTACCACGCAAACTTCTATGCTAGATAGTTGGGGTTTAGATAAGCTATCCTGGTGCCATTTTTTGACTTCATTCATTGTGGCACTTCCTATCATCTTCATTCTCCACCAGCCATTACTTTCCGAGCTGCCCGACGAAGCCTTGAAGTTATGAGCAAAATTGCCCGAAAGCCCATGGCTCTTAATTTTGAATGCTCCACATCCTTCTCTTTTTGGTGGGAAGCAAAATGGAACAAGAAGTATGGATGAGATATGCGCAAAGCCCATGACCGCCTCTTCAAGCAATTTTCCATCAAGTCTCATCCCAGCTCGAGCGAGCTAGAAGACTGGAAGGAGATGATTCACCATAAGAACCAGCTTATTCTAATAGGTATTTATTATCTTCGTTAACTTGTAATTTTATGAAATTTCATGAATCTGCCTTTTTCTAATACTTGTTTTGGTTTCTTTATACCTGCACCCCAAGGCAACCTCATAGAAATGGACGTCGGGCAAGATGAGGATGTCGTAGGCGCCTTTGTGCTTCAAGAAGCTACGGCTGAAGCAGAGAGACAAGGTGTTGGAAAAGGTGGGGATGTCTCTGAGCTGCTTGGGGACTCAGAGGGCGAGGCAGAGCTTGTAATGAAGCCTCGGGCTATGCGTCGGACAAGGGCATTGGTGATAGATTATTTAGAGTCCGAGCCCGAT